GCCCCCCCCCTCGGCGGGCCCGGCCGGAGCAGCGGCTCTCGCTAGCCCAGGCTGTGGCTCAGCCTCTTGCTCCGTGTGCTTCTCCCTCGCCTCAGCCTCCATCCTGGTTACCATCCCCCAGACCAGACCGTCGCAGTCTGGACCAGCGTATCCCATCTCCGCTGACTTGTGGTTTCGCAACACATGTAGGTTTGGGGGTCGAACGGTTTGGTGCTAAAGATTTTGATGGATTTACCCCAAAGCCAGCTTATCCCGGGAGACCTGCAGCTGCTCGGGAACCCTGAGCTTACATTAATGAGCCGGGCAGTTTGGGGATCCAAAAGGTGCGGGCTGGGGTGGGATTTCCCAACACGAGCGTAAACCAGCGGCGAGTAACCCGTGAGCATCGCTGAGCTGCAGCCGCCCCCGTCTGCCCTTCCCCACCCCACGGGGCAGTTCTGTTCCTCCCGCCGTGACCCGAGATAAATTCGTTCACGCTGCCGGGGAGTCCCAAACACAATTTAAAGTCCAGGGAAAGCTTTCAATTGATTTTAATGGGATTTCAGTCGACCCTGCAGCTGAAATCCATCCCCGTGCGGAGCCCTTGCCCGGGGCCTGTACACCGCTCCAGCTCTGGGCTTGATCAGTCTGTGTAAGACGTGGGGCGATGAAAAAGGCGCTGTGGGTCCTGTCTGTCTAATGACCACTTACGTGTGAGACAGACCGCAGCCCTGATGTTGCCTATTTACTCAGGTAACGATAAGGCACTGGATGATCTTCAAGGTCCCTTCCAACCCAAACCATTCTATGATTCTGTGATTCTATGACTTTGCTGGAATTGGAGCCAAAGCTGATCTTCATGGTGGCTCTTCTGATGCTTCTCCCAGAGCAGATGCAGCCGAGTCCCTCCGTGGAGCGCCCTTTCAGCCCTGCCTTCCCCGGGCAGCCCCAGCCCACAGCCCCGCAGGCACATCGCTTTTACCTAACAAAAACTTTTATTCACAGACGAGGCAGTAGTAGAGCTAAGACATAATTCACCGGGAATATTTATCTCCCCTCCTCTTTGAAGAGAATATCTAGCAGCAGGTTGCAATTTCCTTTAGTTCTTTCATTATTGAAAGGAGTTGACAAATATATTTAAGGCATGATCAGGTCTGGCTGGCTGCTAGATTTCGTTACCAACTCTGTGTTGACAAAACATATGCTTTGCTGTGGCTGAGGCACATTCACTGGGTGCTGTTTCCATGCCCTTACTGGATCCCAACAAAACTACCCCCACTGCGAGTGTCCCTGATGCCCTGTGTTTGGAGAATATTCAGTAAATCCATCTTGGTTCTTCCTAATAGTCGCAGTGAGTTAATGTCTGTTTTCTTCCTAATTCAAATAGCTGTTCCTGAAAACGCATGTCAAGACCAGGATCATAAATCATTACGTGCAGAGAAACAGTGATGGGGTTTGATGCTTGACCCGCTGCCGAGCATTGAACCCGGCACATGGAGTCTCCCAGTTGAAACACAAGTTTTTCCACCTCTGGGACTGAAGCACCCACAGCGCTGGGTGGGCTTCTTGCAATCAGCACTGGGCTTTGGGCTCGGCGTGACTGCGTTCTTGTCAAGCTGATGGGTACGGTGGGTGAAGCGCGGGTCTCTGCCGACGGACCGGTTCCTGAGACGCTTCTCTCTCCCCTCGCCAGCTTTAGCATCCAGACGCGGGCTCTGCCCGCTGCCGCGTCCTCACACGAGTGAGGTGGTTCTGCCCGAACATGTCGCTTCCAACAAGACAACCCCTCCGGAGGGCTGAATTGCCGAATGTCTGAGCTCAGCCTCCCGCGCTGCATTGTCACAGCTGGGTGTCCTACAGTAAACCGCTCAGCCGCCCGCTTTGCCTTGTCTCCTGAAGGCTGGAAACAATCAGCTTTTCTGGCGCGGTGACAGTGATAAAATAATAATAATACTGCTGAAATTGGAGGGCTTTCTGAGATGGGGAATAATCCTTGGTCTGCTGGGGCTGTAAGAATAGAGCTGGAGATCCCATAGCGGCTGTGGGACGGCTGCCACAAATCAGCTTTCCTCATCCTCACGTGTTCCCTTGCAGAGCGGTGAGGTGACCTCGGCTGTCAAAGATGCATAAAAAAGGGGTGATGCTGCTCCACTGTGAGACCCGGAGCTCAGCCAAGCACCTTCACTCTGTGGGAGATGGTGGGAGCTGCAGGATTTGGCTGCCCTGGACATCGAGTCTCTTGTTGACAGCTCAACCTGGCCAGACTGGGGAAACGGAGCATCGCTTTAAGATGCTCGACAGCTTTCTAAAGTTGTGTGGCTGCCCAGGGTTCTGCACATGGGCCTTCGGCCGCTCTCGGCTGGGGGATTTGAAAACCTTAGACGAGGTCGGTATGGAAAAACTGACTGTAAAGAGTCTTCAAAGCCATGGTTTGGGGGGCTGGGGGCAGTTAACGCCCCTTAGAAAAGTTACTGGAGTTATTTGGGAGGCTGCGAAAGTGTGGGGGGTGAGGGATTTGCCGAAGGGATGCAGAGAGCTGGTGGGAAAGTCAGAAGCGGTTCCTGGGACTTCAGTTGCGGTGGATTGTGCTGCGTCTCCTTGAGCTGCGCCGGGGCCTCGGGATAAACGCGCTTGGCTTTATCTCCTAGGAAGATGCTGAGATTGTACAAATTCCTGCCATCCTCATCTGAACAGATGAGTGATATAAAATCCATCACAGGGGGCTGTTAGATGAGCAGCAACCACAGTAAATCTGCACCTAAACGAAAAACCCAAGTAGGACATATTTTTATGTTATTTAACTGAGATTTTGCATCTGGGAGGGAGGAGGGGCGCAGAAGCCAGGGGTGCCTCTTCTCTTCAGAAATGTTCCAAGCACTAAAAGGAGAATTTATAGTTCAGCGCTAGGGGGGGAAATGCATAATTCATTTTCCAGACCTTGGAAAACCAAAAAAGAAAAGAAAAAAAAAAAAAAAGTGGGATTTCATTTGTAGTCGCAGTGTGAGCTATAGCTGAGCCCCCCCTGCCCCCAGCCTGCCCAGCTCGGGGGGAAGAGGGTGCACGACACATTTCCCCGCCGGGGAGTTGGGCAGAGCTGGAATTGAGCATCACCGTGCAGGTGTTCGTCGGAGCCGGGAGGAGGCCGGGGTTTATTTGTGGCCGTGAATATTCAGCCCACGAAAATCCCACGGTGGGGGGTGACAATAAGGGCTCGGGGCAGGTCTGGCTTCGCCTGCTGCCGGGCAAAAGGCGGCGCTTCGGCCGTGAGCAGCGCGGTCCCCGGGGATCCTTCCGGCAGCCCGGGCAGCGCCGTGTCCTCATTAGCCAAGTAGGTGTGAGATGCTTGGATTGAAGATGCCGTATGACAGTAAAGTGCTATTAGTGTGCAAAAGAAGCTGTTTTAGTTATTCCAGTAAAGAGAAAATTGTTCTCCTTGTAGACAGGTGAGATAATTAATCATTATCATCTTGCCATTACATTTAATATTCCAGGGCTGTGTGCGTACCCTGGGCAGGGACCACAGCCTTTATCCGCCAGCCTGTGACAGCAGCAGCTTTCCTCGGCACTGATGGAGCTGCCGCCTCTGCCAGCCTCTCTGCTCCCCTTTGGGGTGGCAGTTCATTGCGGGAGGTCACTGCCCGCACACGCACGGCCGAGCCGGTTCCTGCTGCCCCCACGAGTCCCCTCGCCGACGGGGCCGGGTGTCCCAGGGGAGCTGCGAACGGGTCCGGGGAGCAGCACAGCCACGAGCAAATCCTTTCCCCTCCATGCTGGGAGCGGCTGTTCCCAAAGAAAAGACACACACACAAAAATATTTGGGTTTTTCCCAAAGCTTTTCCCAACCTTCAAAGAAAAATAAAGATAAGTTTAGAAAAAGGGGAGTCGGGGGCAGTGCAGACCCCCGAGCAGGGGGAACCGCAGCCCCCGGGAGCGCTCAGCCGGGATGGGGCATTGGTGGCACATGTTGGCCCTTCTCGCGGCAAGCAGAAAAGTGAAGCTCCGATGCTCAGTTCTTTTAGGTGCTTTTTTTACTACTTCTTTCCTCTCTGCTGCCACCCCAGTTTGATGTACCTCTGCTCGATGCTGGGCTGGGAACGGGGCCAAGGGGAAGAGCTATCCTTTGCAGCTGGCGTCAGTCCTGGTCCTTGGATAATTGCTGGCAAATGTGCTCACCTGAACTGACCAGGGGATTATTTTTTTTCTTTCTTCCTTTCTAGAAGTTGAAAATATCAGCCTGTGATGAGAGAATTCAGCTTCTGTTGCTCCCAGAGCCCCAGTTCTGCTCTCTAAATTCAGCATTAATAACAAGATCTCTGCAAAACTTTTTACAAAGTCAACCTTTCTTCTTGAGATGCCTCGGGGTTTGCCCAGACCTGTTGGGCTTCTGCCCCCCTGGTACTGGGGAGAGGAGAGGGGGAGCATCGCTCTCTGCTTGCCCGGGCTGTGGGGGGGAATTTCAGCCTACAAAGGACCCTTCTTCCTTCCCTGGGACCCCTCAAGCTGTCTTGAGGGAAAGGAAATCCTCCTGGAAATGCGCTGGGATATAGGGCTATCAACCGAGGTAGATTTGCTGAGCTGAAGACACTCTTTGCTTTTCTCTCTTTTATCAAGCTGCTTTATATTCTTATTACTCTATTGACACATCCTTCTCCCCCACTCGAATCTAGCCTTAATTTTCAACTGTTAATCAGGCAAAGCACTGTGGCATGCTCTTCTGTAATTAAAGAATTAAAGCCATACCTGAAGAATGCAGATGTGATGGCAATATTAAATTATTTAAATAAAGCCAGGCCATTAGTTATGCACATCTTTCAATCTTTCATCTCTTGATAAGCTCCAGCAGCTTTTGGAAGGGGGAGAAAAAAAGTTTAAAAGTCTGTGTGAATTAATGAAGAGGAGAAGCCCGGTGTGGGGTACTGGGAAGTGCAGCTGTTTAAATGCAGTCTGCAGTGGGGGCAGATTTCATAGAATCACAGAATGGTTTGGGTTGGAAGGGACCTGGAAGATCACCCAGTGCCACCCCCTGCCCTGGGCAGGGCCACCTCCCCCCAGCCCAGGTTGCTCCAAGCCCCGTCCAACCTGGCCTTGACCCCCTCCAGGGATGGGGCAGCCACAGCTTCTCGGGGCAACCTGCCCCAGGGGCTCACCGCCCTCACAGGGAAACATTTCTTCCTCATATCTCATCTAAATCTCCCTTCTTCCAGTTTGAAGCCATTCCCCCTCATCCCATCACTCCATGCCCTTGGAAAAAGTCCCTCCCCAGCTCTCCTGGAGCCCCTTTAGGCACTGGAAGGGGCTCTGAGGTCTCCCCTTTTTGGCCTTCTCTTCTCCAGGCTGAACCCCCCAACTCTCCCAGCCTGTCCTCCCAGCAGAGGGGCTCCAGCCCTCCCAGCATCTCCGGGGCCTCCTCTGGCCCCGCTCCAACAGGTCCATGTCTTTCCTTACCCAGAGGAGTATATCACTGATTACAAGTGCTGGACCAACAAAGCACGACACTTTTTTTCTCTGGGCTGTTGTGTTTGGCTTCCCTCCCTTTGCTTGCTAACGGCATCCTTATTCATGCAGCGGCTGCGCCCTGCCAACACAGCGGCCTCCAATAAATATGTCAATAACAATCTGAAATCATCAGGTCGTGGTGCCCTTGGACTGGCTTTATTGAGTGAGATGATTTGAAATATTTATATGCAATAGCTGTGCTGGTAGAGAAAAAGAGTAATAGAATGGAAGGAGGCTATTAATGTTTGACAAACAGATTTACTTGGATGTAATCAAATTGCAGCATATGCTTAGGGGGGAAAAATCAACAATGTTAACGAATTGCGGCGCAGGCATGGTCGGCGGTAGCCGGCCCATCACTGTGTTCTGTAGCAGTTTTCCGCTGAAAGACCACATTTATAGCTATCACATTATCGCTTGCAAAACTAAAGGATGCTTTTTTTTTGGTAATAGGCATAATAATTTTCTCTGCTTTGCTCGTGAGGATAGTGCGTGTTGTGGACAAACGGGTTGGTGCAATGTGCTGGTGTAATGTGCCCAGGACTGGGCTTTCGGACCAGGCAGGCTCAGCCCCGCTCTGCCGCTGGGTGACAAGCCACCCGCAGCCTCGCTTCTCCCTGTTAGCTTAATGATTTATTTTTTTTAGGCTGCTGGCCAAGAACAGCCCTGGGCTGTGAGGGATGACTGCAATCCCCCCCTTACCGGCGCTGCTGACCTGTGTCCTTGTCTAAGGCAGGGATGTGGGTTCTAACAGCACGTGTGGCCGCAGGGGACATCGCTGCGGAGGTACTCTTGGCTAGGTGGTGTTACACGCTCATCACAGGGAGCTTTTAAGTCCCTTATAGCTGCTTCTTTCTGCATATATTGATGCTTAAGTGCATGGGTAACTTCTCCCCATGCTTCCCTGGATTCCTTAGGGCAGTCAAGACCCGCGGATGAAGCAGCCCATTGTGCGAGAGGAGGTTGGGGAGACGCGTTTCCCACAGATGCTGAGCTCCCGACCTGAAACGCACGTGGAGCCGTATCTGCCCACCGACTCTTTCATGGGCTTTCAAGAAATACTGTTTCCAGGAGGACCTCACGAGTTTTCTCCATGCTGAAATGCTGCCGCTTTCCCTGTTTCATAACAAAATGCTGCTCTGAGTTCCGCCATGGGTCTGCTGAGCAGCACAGGGACAGCGCTGAAGCGCAGCAGGGTGACAAATATAGCCCACGATGACAGAAAAAGGCTCCTTCCCTTCCTGCATCCAGCACGGCTGATGGCTTCAGGGAGAGAAAAACACAGTGTCATACTCCCACTCAGGAGGGGAGAATTAGGGCAGGGAAGAACAGGCGGGAGGGGATATTCTTCCATATCATCCTAAAAAGCGTGTCTGTGGTCACCGAAGGGCTGCCTGGGGGTGGCTGTGCCGTACCCCGCGGCGGTGACAGGAGCACCAGGGGGATGTTCCTGCTTTGAGCTGCCCTCGCTGTCACTGAGCCAACAAGGCCTGGGACGAACAGCTCGCTCTTCGGCTTTCGTCAGGGAGGGGAGGAGCGGCAAACCCCCCCACTGCTCATTTCACACTGGATTTGCATGGTTCCTCACTAACGGCCCTTTTAATAGCCCGTGTAGAGAAATCTTAGGTAAGTGGCTGTTCTCAGAGAGGCTTTGTTCAACATCTGGTTTGGGGGAATCAGCTCCTGGTAGGCTGGTTATTTCCCTGGTTTTAGCGATGAAGGGATGCCAGGGGTTTTTCGGAGGCTGTGGATCCAAAAAAAAACAAGAAAGAGGGTGCTGGAAAGAGAAGGGAGAGGTTTGGCTCTGGTGTGGCTCCCAGATGTGCTCCAAGTCACAGCACGAGGTGGGAGAAGAAGGTGCAAGAGGATGCTTGGAACAGCTGGAGATGCTGGAAGGGCTGGAGATAGGGGAGATGCCGACCTTCCATTTTCCACCAGCAGTGCAGAGCAGACCTCCTGCCTCCAGAAGCAGATTAGTCTTTACCTAAGACTAGACCCCAAAGTCTCATTCAAATCAGCCGAGGCAAACTGCTGGAGCGATCCCAGGTGGTTTTGAGGCTGCAGATCACCACCGGTGAGCGAACCCTCCCCTGAGCCATGCCCCAGCTTCACCTTGGCCTGCTCGCCTTTCTCAATAACTTATGACAGATGGCAATACAGCGGAATTATTTAAATGGTGGCTCTCTCTTCGCTTCTACCGTGTATTATCTATCTTATTTTCTGTTTCCATGTGTTATTCATAAAGCTTTTCATGTCAGCTTGTTTGCCAGCCAGCTGACGGGGAAGCCTGTGGAGGCAGGCAGGTTTGTTCTGCATAAAAGGCCATAAATAATCTGAAAACTGCCAAGCGGTAGCACATTTCAGGGACTTGTGCTTAATATTGGGAGACTTCCTGCAGCAGCATCTTGTATTTGCAGCCACCAGCAGCAAACTTCGGGGTCTTTTCCACTGCACCAGCTGATTTTCCCCTCTGTTAGCTCCCTCTGCAAATTAAAGGACAGGGAAGGTGATGTTCTAATAGCATCTTAGTGTCTCTTCAATAGCCCCCTGGGAGAAGTTCATTTCTGATCGGAGGCATCAGCATAAAACCCCTCGGAGGGTGAATAGGCGCTATGCAGGGAGCGGTGAATTCCTTCTGCTGTCATCCAGCTGTACAGAGCACTTCAAAATAGGGAATAACACAAGCCTTTTGATCTACTGGGGGAAAAAGTCCTGCAATTTAGCACTCGACAAGAAAATCTAATTTGTTTTTAGCAGAGGAAAGCCATTATCCCACTGCAGGAGCGAGGTGGAAAAGCAGCTGCAAGGGGGTTGCTGAGAACAGTCCCCCTGGTGGGACCTGGACC